TTTGGAGTAGTCTGGGGCACTGCCCAAAGAAAGTGGATGAGGTGGTATGGTGTGAGGCCCTAGCAGCAAAGGAGTAGCTAAAAAACACTGAGCAATGGAGTGGGGATTCAGAAAGGAAAAGCTGATGACCCTAAATGTTTCCATAATTCACAATTAGGCCTCTAACAAGCCCTAACTATAACAATCCACAAAATCTCTACTGGAAAGGAGAGATTCAATATAAAAGTTCCGTTTTCACTGTGGGCTCATAGTGCCCCATTTCTACATTCTACAAGGCTGGAGGGTGGAGAGGGAAATTGCTGCATTCACCTCTCCTTCCCATTTCTTAAGCTCCATTATCACTCCCACACTTTTCCTCAAAACAACCTCTATTTTATAGACACAAGCTGAGATTCAGGTTAAGTGACTTGCCCAGGGTCACATAACTTATATACATCAAACTCAGGGCTTTAAACTAGGTCTTTCTGACTCCAAAATTGGTTCTTTCTCCACTAGGAAACATGGCCCTCTAAATGACTCCACCTGTGTTTGCTGATGGTTTTGTTTTTCTTCTCATTCAAGTCACTGAGCAGTTCTGTCTGTCCAATCCCCTTAGTGGTCAAACCCCTAAGCTCAGCGGCTTAGGGCAGCCACTCCATTTGGGCATTACCATAGGGTGGCTCTAAGGGTCAAAAGGTCCTAAAATCAGAAATCCAGAGAAGACCCCTGAATCCTATAGAAAGGGCCCCATGGCAATAGAAACAAATACCTGCAAAAGCCTTTCACCCCAAGAGGCCAAGGTGACTGTGATATCAATCAGGCAATTTCACTGATTTAATTCTGAGTATGTGCCAAGCCAAGTGGTCATGACTGTGGAGAGATCCAGAGGAGGAGACTCATGGATGGTCTAGTGATTGTGCAGAAACCGAAGTTATGGCACAAGCTATTTTTACAGAATAGTATTGTAAGTCTAGATCTAGAAGGGTACATTATGTAGCATCCTTCATTTTACTGAGGAGAAAACTGAGGCCAAGAGTGGTATAATTGTTGTTTTTCTATGTCCTTCATTCTCAAAGAGGACCATGATGTTGGGAAGGCGATGTCATGACTTACAAGTGAATTGGATGTAAGTGAGGCAGGGTTGTGCAAAGTCACCAGCGTCACTCTCTCCTCTGGAGCCGTTTGAATCCAGGGGCAAGGTATAGATCAGGATGACTAGAGATGGCCCTGATGCAGTGACAGACCTTGGTCTTTTTAAGCTAAGGTCTTTTCCAGGTCTCAGTTTGTCTGAGGCAATGCCCATTCAGTGTTAAGGTTGAGTAAGAAATGAGGCAAAGAACGGCCTTTTTTACCTCATCAAAAAAAAAATCTATCTGAGAGGGGAAGACCCTCAGTGTTTCTAGCCAAAACAAAAACAACTGTTATTTATACTCACTATGAACCGTCAGAGCCCAAACAATGACCAAATGAGGCTTGGGCTGGGATCTATTGTTGGCCAATCAATGAAAGCCAGAGTGCTTTGGTTTTAAAGCATGGTCCTTAAAAAATAAATCTAGTAAACCCCAAGATATCTTGTGAGGTATAAAGTGACTTACTGAAAGCCACACAGGTTTCAGGAAGTAGAAATAGGATTTGAATCCAGGTCCTCTGGCTCTAAATGCAGCCTGCTTTCCATAAGACCACACTTCTACTCATAAGTAAAGTAGATAATTCCAATAAAACTCAAAAAACTTGCTTTCAATGAAAAGGTTAGGAAGGTTTTCCTATCATTGATAAATGACTTTGCTTAGGTGGTCTACTGATGGCATGTTAAATTTCCAACTGGAAATGATGAAGAAAAGGTTTAAGATTTCCTTTATGTTTAGTTTTTGTTGTGATTTGATGAAAGAAGATGTAGTATAATGGAAAGACCAGGCTTAGCAGCAAGAGACCTAGGTTCTCATTCCAGTACTGCTGTGACCTTGAGCAGGTCACTTAACCTGCAGTTCTGGAAAAGCCTTAGTTTCTTTATTTATGAAAGGAATTATAGTAATTCTTCCCCCTTTCCTCCCCTCCCCACACCTTGCCTGACTGAATTGGGGCCAGGAAGAGAGTATTTTTATGAATATCAGAAGAGACAATGTGTATGAAAATGCTTTGGGGGGAAAAAAGCTTCAAAGTGCTAAGCAAATATGAAATAAAAGTATAAAATTAATGTGCAGTAATGAAAAGGTGAATCACCCCAAAGTTAATGTGGTTTGCAGTGAACCCAAGTGCTTGTCATGGAATGCAACCTCACTCTCATCAAGAGCATTACAAAGTTTGACCAGACTAACAGAAAATTTCCTGCCTTGCAAGAATGGAAAGTTCACTGTATTCTGAAGGGAAACTAACTGTCCCCACCTGATTTGCATTTTACATAATGCAGCAGGAAATATTTAAGTTGACAAATAGGATATTTAATACTGCAACAGATATTTGGCAGTTAGTTTTTAACAATTGTTACAAATGTGATTTATTTGCCATTATAAAAAGGGCATTACTATGTGAATATGACTCAGAAATTAGCTCCAGTTTAGCAAGAGGCCTTGACTGCCTGACCTCTTAATATCCTTATAATGATGCCATTTACCATTCAATGCTTAGTCAAGTCACTCACTGCTAGATTTGTTTTAAAGGAGGCCACTGTAGGACAGAGGAACTGTGTGTGTGTGTTAACATACTGCCTTGGTGCGTTAGGCACATGCTCTACCTGCCTTTTAACAGAAAAAAAGGGGGAGAGGGCTTAATCAAGTCCTTTATGAAAATGTGTTAGATTCCAATTTCCTACAGTGAGAATGCATTACTACCAATTACAATCTACTCCATCTAGATCATACATTACATTTTCTCCACAAGATCCTTCCCAGGGTAAGCTGAGCCACTGGGTACCACAAACAAGCCAGCTTTTGACCGTTTAGTAATCCCAGCTTTTAATTTCAACCAAAAGATAGACCTTGGTAGAGAGAGGCTTCTCGCGAGGGCCAAGGACATCAGCGCTGCTATTGCTGCTCATCCTTTGTTTTTGCAGACCAACAACGTCGTGGAGTGATGTCTTGACTTGCAAGTGAATTGGACTTAAGTTAGGCAGAGTTAGGAAAAAGTTTACTAATCTGAACCAGGATTGGTCTAAACAGCCACACCCTCGAGCTACGAAGTCTAAGTACAGAATCCAACAGGGATCTCATCAGTAAACCCCCTAACCCAAGCCACTCAGTAATATTGACAGCATTAGTTTATATATAATCATATATGTAGAGCTAGAAAGGACCTCAGAGGCCTCAGAGTTCAATCTCCTCATTTTGGAAATGAGGGAAAAGAAGTCCGAAGGTCAGTGTCAAAAGTGGGATTTGAACCCAGGTCCTCTGACCCCAGAGACTGTGTTCTTAGAGGGAAGTAAAGGAATAGCATAGGATCATCATGTAGACTTGGAACTGGAAGGGACTTTAAAGGTCATGGAGACCAACCCCCTTGTTCTGTTGTTGTTGTTCAGTCATTTTCAGTCATGTCTGACCCTTCGTGACCCCATTTGGGGTTTTCTTTCTTGGCAGAGATACTGGAGTGATTTGCCATTTTCTTTTCCAGCTCATAGGGTTAGGTGACTTGGCCAGGGTCATACAGCTGGTAAGTGTCTGAGGCCAGTTTGGACTGAAGAAGATGAACCTTCCTAACTGTGGGTGTGGTGCTTTATCTACTTCGCCATACACGGAAGAAGAAATAGAGGCATAGAGTGGTTAAGTGACTAGCGCAGGGTCACACTAGTGACCGTACTAAGTGTTTGAAGTAGGATTTGAATCCGAGTCTTCCTGACTCCAGAACCAGTATTCTGATATGGAAGAGAAGTAATAATATACTTTATGTCAGGTGATCCTTACAAGAAACCTGAGAGGTAGGTGGGACGATTCTCCCCATTTTATAGCTTAGGAAACTGAGTCTCAGAAAAAGGGAAGTGGTTAGCTCAAGGTCACACAGCCAGTAAGTGGTTTAGGTAGGACTTGGACCCAGGCCTTCCTCCTCCAGGTGTCGCTGGCATTCCAAAACAAATAGCTGATTTGCCCAAAGGTAGAATATGGGATTTTATAGGAGTATTAGAATGATTAAAATAATAACCTAGATTAATAGAGTATTCGTCCTATTGCCCCATTTTACAGATGAGGAAACTGATTCCCAAAAAGTTTACTCAGCTTAAAGCAGCAAAGCTAACTGGTGGCAGATGGTATACATTTGTGAACTTTTCAAAGTGCTTTCATTTGAACCTCACAAAAAGCCTTTGGGGCAGGTAGTACAGATATCATTCCCTTTTGACAGATGAGGAAACTGAGGTGCAGAGTGGTATTGAGACTTGCCTAGGGTCACACAACTCATTAATAGCAATGCTGATATAAAAAAAATTAGGCACCAGGCCTCATGACTCAGAGTCCCGTGCTTTCATTTTGTGGCATATTGAAATTCTTGGAGCATATGGCCATTTTTCTTTTCCAATAGCCGGCCACACCAAGACCAGAAGGACAGGAGGTTCAGTGCTGTTCTTTTCTCCAGCAGGGGGTGAGCCCTTTGTCACAGCAATTCATTCTTTGCATCAGGTCCTCTTCCTTCTGTCCATTTCACTTCCCCACAACCCCCCCCCCATTCCTTAAAGTTCATTTTTACTCAATTTTCTCAATGGAATTGAGAAATTCCTTTGCCTTGTCTATTTTAGAAATGTTCAGCCATGAGCAGAAAAATCAAAGACTACCTCAGCCTTCCTGAATTTAGTTAACTGTTCTCCAATAAGGTAATAGGAAGATTGGGTCGATTTTCTCTGCTGGGTTATTTGCACTCCTGTAACTGTAGTGATCATCTTGACTGTTCTGATTACGGGTTTATGGCAGCTCCATCACTCAATTGAATGATGTAGAAACAGAAGCAAAAGGTATCTGTTCCATTAAAGTCGCATTCCTGCCCCCCTCCCTTTTTTTGCTGGTCTCATTTCTTCTCTTTTTTTTTCTTCCTGTTTTGATTAGATATGGGCAACAGACCTTGAACTTCTTTATAGTGACCAGCTTTCCTTGACACAGCTCGTCTTGTATGTGACCAGAGGAAATCTGGATTTCAGTTCTAGTGTCTTAGAAGTGGCACCCTCTGTAAAGAAACTTAATAAATCCCTCAGCCAGATCCAGGTAGAACCAGTAAGTATCAATCAATCAACCAGCATTTCCTAAATACCTACTGAATGTGCCCAGCCCTGTGCTACAGATGGAGGGGAGGGGGGTTATGTAAAAATGAAAAAGACCCATCCTTGTCTTCAGGGTTTGCTGTCCTATTGAGGAGATAAAATAGACACACATGAAAAGCTGACCAACTAATGCTACTAGAATTAGAAGAGGAAGGGGTGACTGAGGGAGAGAAAATCTTTGCAAAAAGTTTCTCTGATAAAGTTCTTATTTCTAAGATCTATAAGGAAGTTATTCAAATTTATAAGAATAAGAGCTATTCCCAATTGATAAATAGTCAAAGGATATGAACAGGTAATTTTCTAAGGAAGAAATCCTTGCTATTAATAGCTATATGAAAAGTTGCCCAAACATACAAAGTAAATATGTGGTCAGTGCTGAAGGAGTGACAGAGATGCCAAGTACCGTCAGAGTTCTGTGTGGGAGAGTCCCCTGTGAGCTAGATTCATCCAAAAGGCTTCACAGAAGAGGTGAGACATGAGCTGAGCCTTGAAGGACAGGAATAGGCAAAGAAAAGGACTGGGAGGCATTTCAAATGGGGAAAGGAAGGGATGGTACGAGTCAGTCTCATGATCAGACAACATCATTGAGCATCTTATACAGGACACTCCTGCCCTAAAAGTCACACCATCACCAGAGCAAGGATACTCACCGTAGCAGCCTCCTGTCTATAATAGGTGAGATCATAGGGTTTAGAACTAGAGGACTTAGAAATCATCTGGTCTTCCTCTTCATTTAGCAGATGAAGCATCTTGGTCCCCAGGAAAGGAAACCGCTACCCCAAGTGATTACCATCACAAGGCTAATAAGTGGCAGAGCTGGGCTTCACAAGCTTAACTCCAAACTTGTACTCTTTTCTCAACTCCCAGGCCAAGCAACCCACATCTTGGGAGTCTAAGTCTTGAGCATTTTTGAATGGGATGCCTAAGAGTAGTTTAACTGGTTTCTTCAAACTTTAAAATTAACTGATCTTTTTCTAAATCCTGGACATGTGGCAATTCTAGAGGAGCAATCATAAAGGACTCGTTGTTGACATCAACTGTATGTCTTCAATTGAATAATAATAATAATGGCTAGCATTTTCATAGTACTTTAATGTTTGCAAAGTGATTTCTATATTTTATCTACTTTGACCCTCACAATAATTCTGTGAGATATATGCTATTATTATCCACATTTTACAGATAAGGAAATTGAGGCTAAAAGAGAACAGGTAACTTGTCCAGTATCATACCACTAGTAAACGTCTGAGGCATAATTTGAACTCAAATCTTCCTGACAACCGTTGCGCCACTTAGCTGGAAAGATGCATTGTGTAGGAGAGCTTGCTTATATGGTTATCCCTCTTCCTTCTAACCTTATATGCTTCACTTGGTCATAGGGACTTTTAATCAATCATCAAGCATTTATTAAGCCCTATTGTGTACTAGGCACTAGAGATACAAAGACAAAAGAGAAAGTTCATAGCCTCAAGGATCTTACAGTTTACCGAGAGAGATAACACATATGCACACATGCACACGTATATACACATAGGAAAACATAAAATAGATACTATGTAAACCTGGGGGAGGCAGGGAATCCTAGCTGGGGGGAACCAGAAGACCAGGAAAGACTGAACAGAAAACAGAGCCTGAGCCGGGTCTTAACGTAAACAAGGGATTCCAAGAGAACAGGGGGTGGGGAGCAAGTACAAAGAGCACAGAAGCAAGAAATGGTGTGTCTAGTGTGAAGAACAGCAAGGAGGTCAGTATAGACCACCCACAGACTTAATGGAGGGGAGGAAGGTATAATAAAACTCCAAGTATAATGGGGGTCAGGTTGTGAAGGGCAAAATTTGATTAGAAGGGAAAGGGGGACAAAGAGAGACGGCTCCATGATAAGCAAGCCCCGACTCCCTATAGAAAGTAGTTACAGATCCTCTTCTTCAGAAAGGTCCACCAGGCTGTTGGTTAGACAGTAAAAAGAAAAATACGGACCCCAACCTTTTGTCCTTCTGGCCATGAGTTCCAGGATGGGCCACCGCAATTCCAAGCTATTTCTAAGAGAATGCTGCAGACAGTGGTGGTTTTCAGTCAGCAACCCGCACTAAATGACAAATTGCTGCTTTAAATATGTTGCTTCTGAGAAGTCTAGCCAAAAGCATATGTTGTGTTTTGGATGAGAGGCACGCTCAGTGGTTTCCCCCATTGTGCCTGTTGGCTTCCTTCCTAAGTGCAGACAACATTGTGGAATTCTTCAGAGAGAGAGAGTCTTGCAAATTTTACTATAATTTGGTATGGAACTGAGTGTGCTTTGGATTTTTAGAAAGCACATTCAGTTCCATACTAAATTATAGTAACAATGGGCACACTTTCCTTCTGGGATTATAGGACCTTCAGACCATTCAGGACCATAGTGTTTTCCTCTTGCATGCCTACAGTAAAGTAAATTTGCAAGACTCTACACCTTCTTTGGGGTGGGAAGTGTGTGCTAATAGATGTTTGCTTTTATGTTCAGAAGGCAGACATACACAGGTACACACACATACATACGTGTGTAGACAGATTCACATCAGCCTGCATTTAAAACCAAACAGAAATTTTATTGGAAAATTATGTGCAGATTGTGATTCCTTTTTTAGGAAAAGGAAGTTGTAGTCCTCTCTGACTTCACAGTGCTCCTTTGAAGAATACAATAAAAAGAGGGGTAAAGACAAAATGCTTATGAAAGTACAAAGGATTTCAGAACCCATAAAGTACTTCTGACTTGGGGAGACACTTTGCATAAGGAACAAAACAAAAACCCAAACTTTTTTCTTCCTGTATTCACAGAAGAGATGTTGTCCCATTCCCACCCAAGAAGGTGTAGAGAAATTATAATTTAAAGGTTAATGAGCTCCTGATCTAGTGTTCTTGTCAAGCAACCACTTTGAGGAGAAAGAGTAAATTAGATATGATTAGTCCCAGAAGTACATGTTTTAAAAATGAACAGTAATCAAGTAGCAACTTTTTAAATTAAAATTCTGTCAGAATTAGCATAAATTGTCATCCTTTTCCTATCAGTTTTTACCTAGCTGTTCTCCTTCTGGCTTCTCCTTCCTGGGTTTCCAAGGAGTAGTAACAAGGACTGTTTTGGAAAACATCTTAAAATAACCAAGACATTCAATAAGCATTTTAACAGCATATGATCTGTAATGAATGATTAAGTAAAACCTTTTGTGTTAAATTATGATGTTAATAATGATTCTGTCTCTTTTAATTTATTATGAATTCTCAAATGCTCCGGTTTTGATTTTGATAAAATGGAACAACAACGGAGTTTATGTGATGACTTTATTTTTAGAAATCCTTCTTTGAAAGAACAAATTTCCTAGATACTGCTGCTACTGTAATTATGTACAAAACCAATCACTCATTATAGTTAGGATACATTATCTTCTAGACAGATGAGGCTAAATAAGCAACACATTAATAATTCAGAGTGCAGTTCATTATGCATGTGGATGCATGCTTTGTAACCAAAATAAGCACCTCATCAGCCTCGTGCCAACCCTTAAACAATAGTTCTATGTTATTGCAGCCCCATTCAAGTTTACGCTTGTTAAACTGCTACTTGGATTATTTTATCAAACATTCATTTATTTGTGGTCCCTTACTGCAGAGAACAGATTTTGGAAGCTCCTTTTTTCAGTTAATGATTTGAGCAATGGGTGTTATTAATTCTCAGAATATTATAAACATGATTAATTCTCAGGCAGAGATTTATTACACAAGGATTTCAACTATGTCAACTTAAATACATCACTGTCAAAACAAGTATCATGGAGAAAATGAAATGCACTCTGTACTTCCAGTCCTCAAGCTCAGAAGGAAATCGATTTAAATTATGGCTACAGCAAAATTATATTCTCCAATGAAAAAAGGGTGTTTTTAAGCTTCTTTTATTTAGCTGTAAGAATTCTTATTAGATTGTGATTTAGAAAGAAGACTGGACTTTGACCTAGAACTTTTTTGTCCTTTTTTGATTTTTTCCTCTTTTTCCAGTGAGAGTCAACCTCTGCATATTCTAGTCATGCCTAAGTAGGTTCTGTGGAAATTTAGACTGTTCAGCAATGGCAGAGCAGGGCCCTAAAGAAAGGACCAGGCTGACACAGTCTTACGTGGGCAGATTTGGTGAATGCCTAGATGGTATGATTTGAGAGGTCTCCAGCAGGACCCCCATGTCCAAATACTAACCGTATCATTCATCTTCATTCTACTTTTTTTTGTTTCCTTCCTTTTAGCAGTGTGTTGTAGTGGAAAGTACCCTAGAATTATAATCAGAAAAGATCAAGATTCAATTCCCAGCTATGGCACTTGCTCCCTGGGTCACAATGAGCAAGTCATTTAACCTCTCCTAGCCTCAATTTATAAAATAGGGATATTAATAATTGTTCTACCCATCTCACTGGGTTGTTGTGAAGAAAGCCCCATGTAAATACCAAAGTACACAGAAATGTGAGATATTATTATTAAAACTTGATGTCTTGGACTTTAGTTCTCTTATTAAAATTTAAATACCCTCAGGAAGAATCATATCTTAAACCATTGGCAGCTCAGTTACCAGCTAACCTCTTAGCAAATATAGGTATGGGAAAAAGGAGAGGGATTTGAGGTAAAGATGTAGGTATACCAGGAAGAAGGACAGGGATACTGAGGGGGGGGAATGAAAAGGTGACAAAGACAAACTTTATGTGCTCCATTACTTTACAGAGGGTCCTTCCAGCCCAGACTATACAAAGGCAGTGGTCAGGTATATGACCTTGGGTTAGTCTTGTGACCACTTGGTCTCAGTCCCTCAGCCACAAAACACCCACAACACATCCCAGAGGGATCGTGAAGACTGTTTAATGAATGAACTTTGGCATAAATGTTTTTGATGATGGAAATCACAGAAATACCTAGTAGAAATCAGACTAGCTCTCTTGGTGTGCA